TAGAGTTGAGTGAGGAAGAGAGAAGTAAGAAGGGTTGTATTTATAGGGCATGAAAATGATGCTTATATGCCCATGCAAGAGAGGATACAGCTGCCAATTGAAAGCTAAGCACACCATAATTTAAAAATAAATAAATAATAATACAAAAACAAATTAAAAAGTATGTGAGTTTTATGGGTGAAAAGTAAAGAAAAAAGTAGGCATATGACAAAAAGTTCTAGGAGGTTCTTAAATGAATACAAGTATAAAAGTTAAGCAGCCTCTTACCAACTTCTGGTGTTCTAAATTAAGTCTAGTCTAGAGAATCAATTAAAGTGACTCTAATAGTATTAAAGTAGTAGAATAGTAGTTTCTTACAACTCTTATCATCTCTTATTACGTGTGATTTTTTTTTTTGGATAAAAAGAGTCAACGCACTATAGCTAGGTAGAAGCCAATTATACTAGCCAACCCTATGATATACAATTATATCCTGTTGTTCTCTCTTGCTTAGGTTGCTAAATTCAATTAATTTAATTATTGGTTTGCTTTAACCATTATAAGGATAAAGCTAATCATTGTTGATAACTAATCCGATTTTTAAAATAATTTCTCCATATTGTAAGGGCATACTACTTTTGGCTTAATTTTATTTTTCTACTATTTAGAATTTGATTTAGCTTTTATTAAATTAAATCATCACAATGTAAATGGCCGAAAACCCCTAAAATTGTCCCTATTTAGAATTTCGCCACATTTCTAACTTTAGCAGTTCAATTTTTATCTTGTTTAATTCCTAAATCCTAATTTATTGGATACTAATAGCTGTTGTGAAAAATTACTACGTATACTATCTCTTTTCAAAATTAGCTAGCTAAACTAAGGTGCCACTCACAACTTTAGAATCCATGTTTTACGTTCATAGTACTCCGCATCCCTTTAGACCTGCACAAAGTATTGGGTGCGGCTTGCCCACCCAATGTTTCGTCAGTCGAAACTCAAGAAAGTTCCAGATCACCGTCATCTTCTTGCGATGAAAAACAAGTTTTATCCCGACAACAAGTTGGTGGTGGTTACGAAGAAGGAGAGCAGCGAGGTCATCCATGGCGGAAGAGAGAGAAAGCTTGAGATTCTCGGATTTTTTGAAAAATGCCCAAAACAAGTTATACATATCCTCCATTGGCTGGATGATATCCTCTATTGTCTATATGATATCATGGTTGTATGATATCCTCTATTAACTATATATATATGATATCGTTTATGATTGTGTCTATGATATCCTTTAATGGGTGGATGATATCCTCTATTAGATATATGATATCATGGTTGTATGATATCCTCTATTAGCTATATGATATCGTTTATGATTATGTCTATGATACCCTTTATTGGTTGGATGATATCCTCTATTGGCTATATGATATCATATAACCAATAGAGGTTATCATCCAGCCAATAGAGGATAACATCTAACTAGTAGAAATAGCATCTAGTCAATAAAGGATACCATATAGTCAATAAAGGAAATCATCCGGCCAATAGAGAATAGCATCCAGCTAGTAGAAATGTCATCCAGCCAATAAAAGGATATTATATAGACAATAAAGGATATCATCCGGTTAGTAGAGGATATCATACACCCAGTAGAAATATCATCCAGCCAATAAAGGATATCATATAGCCAATAAAGGATATCATCCAGTGAGTAGAGGATGTCATCCAGCCAATAGAGGATATCATCCCGCCAATTGAGAATATCAAAAATTTGCATTTTGTCAGTTGGGACTGACGAAGTTAATCTTCGTCAGTCCGGACTGATACAATACCTATACAATACCTTCTCTTAGACCTTAGTAGAATACTAGAATATTAAAGGAGGATATTAGAACTGTTGCTTTGATGAGTGCATTTTTCTTATTGAAGCTACATGCATTTCTTTGTAATTGTCTTTTTATAACAGTCATTCTATATAAAATACTCCATCAATTCCTTTTTTTTTTTCCTTTACCCCTTAAATCATATGATTTCAAATAATGCACATCTAACTAGGAATACATTCAATAAGATATGAGTAAAATAATTCAAAATAAATAATTTTAAAATATATTTTAAGCCTAATCTAACAAGATCTTAGCCACATAGTTTGATGTTGATTGATGTCTTTAACTGTAAATTAATTTATAAAAAATTAGAAAAATGACCATAAATATAATTATATAAAGTCAATGCGTAGTGAATGAAAAAGAAATCAAGAGGTTAGTAAATATACTTTAAAGTGTTTCTAAGAAAATATACATTTCCTACTCAACTCCTATCAATCACTAAAAATCTAAAATAGACCGTTGTACTTTGTCATTAGAAAGAAAAGATATTTGAAGAAGCTAGATTTATTTTGGCTTTGATAGATATCATATGGAATCATGCATTATTTTTCCTTGGTTAGGTAATCTTGGGGAAAATACAAGTTAATTTGATAGATAAACGAATTTTTGTTAATCTGAGGCATTTTTGTAAATATATTGAAAAAGCAAGGTTATTTATTCAGTACTTTTGGTGAGCTGTCTAATTATTGTTTGTTTTTTGCTTTTACTGTTTGGTGAGAAAATTACACATGTACCCCTCAACTAATACATGAAAAGACGCATATACCCCTCCACTGCTACTTGAAAAGGTTTATCTGGGGAATTGACTGACTATCCCTCGTAATCTTGATCATTAAAATTTAAAAATAACATATGATCGTCGTATTTTTTAATGAATTAATTTGTATTTGTGGTTGTTGAATTTGGATATAGTCTATAGTCTAAACAACGTACCTACATGTTTTTTTTTTTGACAAAGAGAACTAAAAACAAATAAAAAAGACCAAGAAAAAGCAGTGTGACGACGAGCTTGACCCGCAAGCCAATGAGCCGGCAAAACCCAAGAACGCGGAACCTTCTGAATCCTACATGCTGATAGAGAACTGATCTCATTCCAAACAGCATCAAGGAGCCAAACACAAGCAAGAACATCCCTCGAAACGCCAATGAGAAGGGAAACAACTTGAAAAAAGTCTGTATAAACCTGCAGCCAAACAAAACCCTTACGTCTAGCCGCCCTAAATCCCCATAAACAAGCTTGAAGTTCAGACTGCAATGCTGAACCCGCCCTAGTTGCCTTTAACCCACCTCCCAACACCTGATCCGAATGAAGATCTCAAAAGACCCAACCAGCCCCTGCAGAATAATCGTTACAGTTCCAAGCACTATCAATTAGAATGCAACAATCCAGCTCCTGAAACTCCAACCCTCTAATCCATCCAGACCTATGTAACGAAGAAGCCAAATTGGAAACAACAGGTGAAGCTGTAAACTTGGAAAGAGCCAAAGCCTCCTCCCCCCGAGAGACCCAATCTGCAGCCATATGTAAAATAACAGAAGGGGAAGAAACAGCCTGACGAAAGACCTTGTTATTACGGGATACCCAAACTGCCCACATGAAGGAGATAAAGTAAGATAAAGCTGGCCAAGTCTTAACTTTTTTGAAATTCACAACCGCATTAGTAAACCATGATTTAAACGGCGTATGCTGCATCGAATTGCGAGAGAGGAAAAGGGGACCGTTAACCAAAAGATCAGAGATGAACACACAATCCCTAAACAGATGAGAAGCAGACTCACAACTGCAATGACAAAAAACACAGACAGGGGAAACTGAAATCCCCCGTTGATAAAGATGGTCTTTGAGAGGCAAAGCATCATGCAACAACTTCCAAACGAAAGTTTTTAACTTGGGAAGCAAACAGATACCCCAAAACTGCTTCCACCAACCATCGGAAGCTGGAACACTAGCCACTGAAACAATTGACTGACGAATCAGCGAGGCGTACGCAGTTTTTGTAGAAAATGTCCCATCTTTTGTAAACTTCCAATAGACAAAATCATCCATAACAGAAGGAGGCCGCTCCAAAGAGAGAATCCGCTGCGCGGAAGAGGAATCAAACAGCCGATAGATCAGGGAAGAATCCCACGTATTAGAACACAGATTAATGATAGAAGAGACATGAGTCGGCAAAGACGACTCAACAGGCGAAGCCTTAAAAGTAATTGGGTCACCTGGATCCCAATTATCCTCCAAAATACGAATCTTAGTACCAGAACCAACTTTCCAGACTAACCCTGGTGACAAAGCAGCTATCCCTTCCGAAAGCCCCCGACATCCCCACGATGGCCTGGCAGCGCCCCCCGGTCGAAGCGAACCAAGGGAGGGATACTTGGACCGAAGAACTCTCGACACCAAAAGCTGAGGATGCTGATGGATACGCCAACATTGCTTGGCTAATAAAGCCGAGTTTAAAAAGGACACGCTTCGAAGACCCAACCCTCCCATACCCTTCGGAAGATGAAGAAGAGCTGCAGACCGGAAGGCTATACCTTTAGACGAAGAACTAGATTGCCACCAGAACCGAGCTAACATACTATCAATCCGGTTAACGTACCTACATGTTAATTAGTTACTTCGTACTGGTATGTTTCTTATTTCATACAATTATACTCTGTATACAAGTATAGAACAAGTGGATCTTTAATTAATATTGTTCTAATTACTTAATTGAGTTTATTTTGTGTGCCAATTTCTAATAGGTAATAATTTTTGGTGGAAAAAATTGTACTTTGTATTAGGTATTGATTGTAATAAATTAAACATTTTAACCAAATAATTTGATGACTCTAGCTTTAAACATTTATCAAACACGAGATAATAAAACTCGAAACAAATAAGTCAAAAAGTATAGGATTTCAAGATAATATATGAAAAAAATTCACAATTTTTATACGTGGATGACTGGATACACCGTATGACAGGGGTTACTCATTTGATCAGAGGTTACTTGTAGGTGTTACTTATTATTTGGTTACTTATTCAAGGGTTACTCGTTTGGTTAGAAATTACTGATTCAGGGGTTACTCGTTTGGTAAGGGCTAAATTATAGGAGTCACTTTTTTTTTTTTTTTTGAAAACTCGTAATGGGTGCCTTATATTGATAATTTATCCATCAAAACGAAAGGAGAAACTTCACAAGGACAAAGGTTCTCCCAAACTTGTTCAACACCATAAGGCAACACACGAGCTAAGTTATGGGCAACAGAATTCCCATCTCGCTTAACATGGTACCACAAAACAGAATTACAAGAAGACAATATTTCATCTAGAATAGTATCAAGATCAGTGAGGTAAACTGAGGCCTTCGATAATCTGGAGATAAGAACTTGGTCGTCTGCTTCTAAGGTAATATCCTTCAAGCCAAAGCGTTTGGCTAATCTGACTGCCATAGTAGCAGCTTTGCTCTCTGCCACAACAGGGGGCCAGTAGGCTCTTGTGCGCCTAGAAGCAGCGGAAAGTACCTCCCCTTGCCAATCCCACGCAACAACACCAAGCCCCACCCACCCCTCAACGTTCAGTGAGGCATTGCAATTGAGTTTAATTGTTCCTTCAGGTGGGGGAACCCATTTCTTTGAGCTTCTACAAGTCGCTGTCTTACCACCACCATAAATCTGTCTTGCATAGAGGCTACAATCAGAGGCAAGTCTGAGAACTCTCTGAATAATCACAGAGGGTAAGTGTCTTTGCCATTGAATATCATGTCATTCCTTCTATTCCAAATGTTCCATAGAAGAATGGCACCTCTGCAAAGCTTCTTCTTCTCCAACTTGCACAAAGATTCAAATAGTTCTAAGAAGGTCATACCAGTTGGCCAAAGGGACATCTCAGTGCAGTCACAGTCTACCCACAAGTCACGGACAATAGGGCAGTCAAATAGAGCTTGTTGCAGCGATTTTGGGCATCCTACGCACCATGGGCAGTCCGAGACCTCTGCCATATGTCTGAATTTGAGGTATTCTCTCACAGGTAACGTACCTGTACAAATGCGCCACAAGAAATGACGAACTTTAGGTGTGACCTTGATATTCTAGATATCGACCCATGTTTTATTGAAGAGATCAAGGTTGCATGATTTTATAAGCATATAAGCCGTCTTGACGGAGTAGCAACCATCCATTGAGAAATCCCACGTAAGAGAGTCAGACCCGGGTTTAAAGCTCAAGGTAATAGCTAGTATGCTCCGAGTATCAACTTCATTAGAGATGATTTCAATTCGCTGCAGATTCCATTCTCGGGCCTCAAAATCGATCAAGTCACTGACCGTTGATACCTCTTCAATACTAGGGGTGGTGATGAATCTGCTTTCCCCAATGTCAACCCAAGGGTCATTCCAGATATTGACTGTTGACCCATTTCCAATTCTCCAAATAAGTCCTTCTTTGAAAAGAGCTTTTGAAGACCAAATGATACGCCAAGAAAAGCTACCTCCTACTCCCAAATTAGCCTCGAGAAAACTCTATCCTGCATAATAATTGGCACTTAGCACCCTATTTAACAGAGAATTTGTGGAGCTCATTAAATGCCAAGCTTGGCGGCCAAGTAGTGCATCATTGAAGACCTTCAAATCACGGAAACCTATGCCCCCTAGACATTTGGGGGTGCAAAGGTCCTTCCAGCTTTTCCAATGAACCCTTTTCCGATCCTTCTCTTGCCCCTACCAACAACGAGCAATCATGGAATGAATATCATCAATTATCCCTGCCGGGATTTTATACACCCCCATGATGTATGTCAGGATTGCTTGAATGATAGATTTGATGAGAATTTCCTTTCTTGCTCTTGATAGCAATTTCTCCTTCCACCCCGTTAGCTTCTTCCATATTTTATCTTTAAGTGCTGAAAAAACCATCTTTTTTTATTTTCCAATAATGGTCGGGATCCCAAGATACTTCTCATGTTTTTCAATTCGCCGCATCATAAAAAATCTCTAATAATTCCTCTTGCTTCGCGATGTCAACTCTTTGCTGAAAGAGACCTCCGATTTGTCATAGTTAATTTTCTGTCCGGAAGCATGTTCATATATGTTGAGGATTTCAACAATTTTTAAACAGTCCCTTCGGTTGGCTTATGTAAAGAGAAGACTATCATCGGCAAAGAGGAGATATGATATTTTTGGCCCTCTACGACTAGCTCTGACCCCATGGATGTCACCATCAATTGCAGCTTTCCGCAGTAGTCCTGAGAAAGCATCTGCCACAAGGATAAAAGGGTACGGGGAAAGCGGGTCTCCTTGACGCAGACCCCTAGAGGGAGAAACCTATCCACATACATCACCATTGACAATAAAGGAATATTTTACCAAAGTTACACACTCCATTGTCGTCCCCATCCATCTACTATCAAATCCCATTTTTAGTAGCAATTATTCCGGAAAATTCCATTTAACCCTATCATAGGCCTTACTCATATCAAACTTCATCAAAATTGCCCCCTTTTACCATTGCATCTCTTTTTCATAGAATGAAATAGTTCCAAAGCGATGAGAGCATTGTCTGTAATTAATCTTCCCAAAAAAAAGGCACTTTGATTTTTCGAAACAATTCCAGGAATTGAAGAATCGATTTTGGCCTCATAACAATGGCTTTCGAAGCAATTTTGTACATCACATTACATAGAGCAATAGGCCTAAACTCAGGCATCAAAGTGGGAGATTTAAATTTCAAAATAAGAACAATGTTAGTATTATTTGCAGAGCCAAAAGACTCATTACCCAGCAAAATACTACTAACTCGCTTCGAAACATCGTCACCAACGATATGCCAAAATTTTTGAAAAAATACAGCATGCATACTGTAGACACCCAAACGTGTCTCCCCAAAACCAAATCCAGTGATGAATACCTTTCATGTCATTTGATTATTGAACAAGGCGAAAGTGTGAAAAGTCTAGTGATGAGGATGTATTTATTAAAATATCTCGTCTTTCTGTTTTTGAAAATATTTCTTTTCTTACCCTTTGAAAAATGTGCATTCCAATTTAGTTTGGTCCATGATATGGGTCCAATAATAGTGTATTTGGATAGGGCTTGAAAATACCTTTCCCACGATATATTATAAGCCCAATTCCGATGAATAATAAGGAAGTTATGGCCAAAATACTAAACTGGGCCCGGTTTGGTTTTTATATGCGCCCCAATGATCTAGAGGAGGGCCTATTATTAATTCTCATTCCTAAAGCTATTAGGATTGATTATAGTCTTTTAGAATACTCTAGAAGGTTCTTTTAAATCCTAATGGAGTTAGGATTGATAATTATGTTTCAAAGAGTTTGAAATTGAATAAAACTACTTCTTTTTAGAATCCTTGTTTTGTACGAAGTGGAATACATTCAGATTTTATTTTCGTGCTTCATAATCTTTATCCAAATTTTATATGGTTGGATAGATCTTGAAATTATCTTTCCAATGATATATTATAATATTAAATCCGAGCTATAACGAAAAAGATATGAATGAGATATGAAACTCTATCCAAAACTGACACCGTTCCACTATTTCAGCCATATAGTTTTATATACAAAATATCTCATTCCAATTGGGTTTAAAAGTAGACTTCAAGTGCTTTCCAAAGACATATTATATGCCTTATTTGAAATTCCGGATAAAAAGATATGATAAAAATAAAAAACGCGTGAAACTAATTATTAGCGCCTGATGACAAGCATTAGCGCCTAGGCGCTAACCTTTAGCGCCTGGCGCTAATGACTCGCGTCTGACGCTGTAGGGAATATTTCAAGATTTTATCCCACTATCTTGAACCCCACTGTGATCATACACTAAAGTACGGTGTGGTCCAAAAGGGAAGAAGATAGAGCAAAAGAGTCGCCAACAAGTTTTAGGAACTTGTAAACCGTTCATAGGATGAAGGTTAAACCCCTTTAGCCTATTTCCAACGCGTTTTCGAAAATCCGATAAATTTTCCGTACTGGAGGATAAAATCATATAATTTCCTCGAAAATGCTATTTTATTTTGATTAAAACTCTGAAAAGTCAAAAAGTCAATTTATTAATGCTAATTGAATTAGGAATGAAAAGAACCTTCTAGAAGATTCTAGAAGACTAAAACCAATCCTAATTGCATTAGGAATGATAAATCATATTAGGCCCTCTCCAAGATCATTGGGCCGTACATAAAGCTCAAAACGGGCCCAGTTTAGTATTTTGGCCATAACTTCCTTGATATTCATCGGAATTGGGCTTATAATATATCGTTGGAAAGGTCTTTGCAAGCCCCATCCAACTACACTACTATTGGACCCATATCATGGACCAACCAAACTGGATTGGCTGTTTTCTTAAAATAAGTTTTCAAAAACAGAGAGAAGAGAAAAGAAATTAAAACTATCCGCAACACTAGACTTTCCACACTTTCACTTCATTCGATTATGATTCGACGTGAAAGGTAGTCATCACTGGGTTTGGTTTTGGGGAGACACAAATGGGTGTCTAAAGAAGCCCCCACTTTGACTGAGTTTGGAGAAACGCAAGTTTCGAAAACAAAAGTCAAAGTAGCGATAGGGACGGAGAATGATTCAGAACGTTCTGCGATCCTAAACCACTCTTACAACGCCAATACCTGCAAAACTATCGTTAGTTAAACAGATAAAAGAGTTAAGAAACGCGTAGCTTGCACCGTCGAGCACACGTCTCTGAGAGTAACCGATTATTTTGATGACCTCCTGCAAGCTAGAGAATGCCATCCCGCTTGAAAACTGCTACGCCCGTAACTGTTTCCAAATTAGAAGACTGCTTCGCCTAAAACGATCCTCTTCCGCTTTGATAATATTCCACATCCAAGGGAATACTATCGAAGATTATTTCTCTTGAAACAGTCCTCATCCGCATTGATAATATTCCACGTCCAAGGGAATACTATCGAAGATTGCTTCTCTTGAAATAATCCTCATCCGCATTGATAATATTCCACGTCCAAGGGAATACTATCGAAGATTTCTTATCTTGAAACAATCCTCAGTTGTTTGTGACAACCCTCCACAATCTAGGGAACGCCATCTTGCTGTTTGTTTTGACGATCTTCCGCAATCTAGGGAACGCCGTCGATCAATGTTGCTACATCTTGAGTCTTTTCTTGAATCATAGTGACAACCTTTCCAATCATAGCAAAAGTCATTGAAGACCGCCTCATCATGAACCGCTCTTCTCATATCTTGGTGACAACCTCCACAATCTTAGCGAACACCGTCGAAGACCGCCCATCTCGTGCTATCTTCTCAAACCTTGGGTGACAACCTCCACAATCTTAGCGAATGCCGTCGAACACCGCCCATCTCGTGCTATCTTCTCAAATCTTGGGTGACAACTTCCACAATCTTAGCGAATGCCGTCGAAGACCGCCCATCTCGTGCTATCTTCTCAAATCTTTAGTGACAATTTCCACAATCTTAGCAAACGCTGTCGAAGACTGCCCATCTTGTGCTATCTTCTCAAATCTTTAGTGACAACTTCCACAATCTTAGCGAACGCTGTTGAAAATAACTTTACTTGAAGTCATCCTCAGTTGTTGCGATAATATTCCGAAGAAAATTACCGAAGACCAACACTTGTCGATCTTTAAAGCTCGCTCAAACTTTGCTTCCGCCATGCCTTTACGTCGGCGCTTTCGTTGCTTTGAACCTATACGTCGGTGCCTTTTCTGCTTTTGAGCCTATGCTTAGGCACTTTAAGCTAAGTGAGACGATCTTTCATCAGGTCGATCACTTATTTGCTGTTGTAATCAAACCGACTACTTAATCATGTCAAATTTCTCATTGGGGCTAACTGGCGTACCAAGGAACCCGAAATTGTTGTATGAGGTCGAAATCATCTTTCTGAGAGGCTTCGAGCTCTGTCGCTGCTAAAATATCTCTGGCGCCAAGAATTGACTCTGTCACCGAATGCTGTGATAGGGTCTTCCCTGTTCTGCTGCACCTGTATTTATT